TTAACGTTACCCAGTGGGCACCTGTGAACCTAAGTCACGAAAGGCGCGAAACATTACCCACGCCACACTGTCACATACCCGTTTATAGGGTGGGCTACATTCACACATCACACAATAGGTAACACACACAGAGAGAAACCTCCATGCCCGGAGCTGGATTCGAACCCGCAATCATTGGCTTCACAGTCAGGCACGCTGACCGCTCGGCCACCTGGCCGGCCTTGGTCATTTTATAATAGCTAATATAATAAAATAAAAAGTTCTTTGTCAAAAATTAGTTATTTTATCATGATCATGTAATTGTAAACCTTTTATTTTGCATTCTGTTAATGTATATAGTGCTTATAAATATTTTTGAGTGCTTAAAGAGTACTTAAAAGGTGCTCATTTTTTGTTGAAAGATTTGGCTACTTAGAACACTATGCGATCTTTACTTTAGGTCTTTTATTCTCAAAGTATGATTTTTTTTTATCTATGTGGAAAATCTTCCTTATTCCAAAACATAATTATGAAATAATAGTGTCTAAGAACCTTTTATTTTACGAAGTGGTTGACTAATGATTCGAACAGGAAAACTCGCACTTTATTATTATTTTCGTCACTTATTTCAATATTTATTTTCTTAGCGTATTTTCATTGTATAATACTGCTTGTGAATCCATGTGTTATATTCGATTCAGTATAAGACTTCAAAACGAACGAAAAATGTTTTGAAAGAAGTATTTTTTTTTAAAATAGTGAGAGATCAATAAAATATTTAAACTCCAAAATGTCTATTTGTACCGATACAATTATGTATGTATCATACATGGATTATTTAAATTCTATTACAGTTTGTAAATTGAAAATTAAATTTAAAAAAAGGCATCAAAAATTTCAGAGGATGGCAGGAGTAATACGGTCAAACCCCGTGATAATAAATTTATAGGGAACTCCCGGATATAGTGAACGAAATGATGTTCGCTCCCCTGCATTGTTATACACAGATTATATTTTGTGAACCAAAAGGAAATTGTAGGATAGTATGATTTTTTTTCTGTCTTTTTCTTCATCATTTTTTTGGTCATTTCTACATAAAATACATATTACCGATTTTTTAAAACTACCTATTAAGTGGAATGTAGCCATAAGCATTTTTTTTCTTCTTCTATCACATTTTTCATTCACATTTTTTGTGACTACATATTGTTTTTTAATCATGTTCGTGTTTCTTTTTCTGGGTCATTTATGTAAATAATGTGTCATAAAAGGGAGCAGTTCGGAAAAATGAGTTAAAATTGTTTGCGGTACTGATATAGTGAACTCCCGGTTAACAGAAATTTCGGTTCCTCGAAGGTTCGTTATAACGGGGTTTGACTGTATTTTTGCCATTATTTATTTATTTAGCTTGCCCAAATTAAATATTGACTGGTATTAACTGTGTCTGATTATATATCTTTCTAATACGCAAAATACTAGGCCATAAAGGTTCGTAGTTCAAGAATTTTAACGGCATTTTTTTTTTTTTTTTTTTTTTTTTTTTTTTTTTTTTTTTTTTTTGTGACAAAATTATAGCATTACAATTTCGCTAAGCTTCTTGCATCACTTTTTAAAAGATAAATAAGTCATAGTAATGCATTGTCTGTAATTATAAAGCGTTGAAACAATTTTTCAGTATCGTTTTTTTTTTTCTTTTTTTTTTAAGTAAATTAAAAATATACGTACTCAAAATGACTAAGTGCGTAATTTTTTTCAAGTCGTTATTTTTGAGAAACTAAACATTATCCAAACTTTAAAATAATGTGATCATTTTGATTACGTAATTTACAATACATTCGTTTTTTTTGAGAAATTTGTTTTTATTTTTTAACCTTAACTTAATTTAAACTGGTGAAAATCTATTTGCTTGATGCTGATTGAAAAAAAAAATTATCTTAAAGTAAATTATGCAAAACAAAGGAAAATCTGAAACAGTCACTTTCAGTACAGTACGTGTAAATTTTGTCAGGAAAAAGAAAAAAAAGACTTTTTTTTTCTACTATGGAATCCTAATTAATAGTACCTCCTTTGGCACTATAGAGTTCTTTAGCAGTTTTAACCACACAAAAAAGAGACTAAAATGAAATTATTAACATAAATGAAATATTTTGAACTGATTCTTGGTATATGAGCAATTCTACAAATAAACGCCAGTTAGGCGGCCAAAAAAAAATTAAAAAAAATTTGGAGGGCACACTATTTCTACATGAATTTTCTTCTTCCTTACACACTAAAAAGGCGAGAAAAAATCGTGAACATGAAATTTTTTCTTTGTGACATACTTTAAATGTGACATACTCTTTCTGACATACTCAGATAAATCTGAGCCGTTTATTCAGATAAAACGATTTTTACATAAATATAATATTATTATAATGTCTCTCTAAAATGTATTTATAGAGATTTCATAGTATAAGATTATATTTTAGTATAAAAATTGGCGTTTATTTGTAGAATTTCTCATATCGTCGCTTTGAAACTAAACCGTGGTAACTCAAAAAAGCAAATTTTTCAGGAGAGCAATTTCTATCTAATGCTAATCACGCCAATGCGATAACGATTTATCTGCTCTCTAAATTAATTTTATTGAACTATGAAGATAATACTTTTTTTCTCTAAAAGGGTGATTTTTTTTACACAAAATGACCCAAATATCTCATTTTTCGATTTTTTTGAGTTTTACGGCGATAAAAGCGACGATATGAGCAATTCTAGAAATCAACGCAAATTAGGCAAACAACAAAAAAAAATTTTTTTTTGGGGGGGGGGCACGCTATTTCTACATGAATTTTCTTCTTTTTTACACCCTGAAAAAGCAAGAAAAAATATTAAACATGAAATTTTTTCTTTGTGACATACTTTAAATGACAAAATACCAATTTTGAATTTTTCCCGATTTTTTCAATTTACGAACTTTGATTAAATTTTTTTAGTTTTGTTTTTTATACTAAAATATAATCTTATAGTATGAAATCTCTATAAATACATATTAGAGAGACATTATAATAATATTATATTTATGTAAAAATCGTTTTATCTGAATAAACGGCTCAGATTTATCTGAGTATGTCAGAAAGAGTATGTCACATTTAAAGTATGTCACAAAGAAAAAATTTCATGTTCACGATTTTTTCTCGCCTTTTTAGGGTGTAAGGAAGAAGAAAATTCATGTAGAAATAGTGTGCCTCCCAAAAAAAAATTTATTATTTTTTGGCCGCCTAACTGGCGTTTATTTGTAGAATTGCTCATATGCGTACAGTCCAAATTATTAGACGCATTATAAGATTTCATGTAAAATCTTAATTATCAGGTGATACTAGGCAGCCTTATTGCTTTTACTCGACTGAAACCGGTTTGCACTTGTTTACGTTCCTGTGTCAATGGGTTAACATTGTAATGCAATACGTTAAAAATAAATACAAATAGGAAGTATATAAAAAATCTCTTGAATTAAAACCCATTATGTTTAAATATAAAAGTATTGCATCTGTACTTGTGCAAAACATGCAATTATTAAAACGCGACTAGTAATAGTAGTGCGTCTAGTAATTTGGTTCAATTATTATACTAATAAAATGCTTGATACAATAAATATTCTATATTTATATTATACATCGTTTAATTTAAGCCATTGATACACTATCGTAAACAAGTGCAGACCGGTTGCATAAAAACATTAAATCTGTCACCTGAGTAATTGAACGTCTAATAAGGGACCAGTACTGTAGGTTGAAAATGAATAAAATAAATTGAATGGAGGTTTTATAAACGTTGAGAAATTTATTTTATTTTGAATCTCTAGGAGAATTGCATAATTTATTAAATTGAAATAATTGTTTCCCTATTTTCTTTCCATTGGCATTTTGCATAATTAAGTTTACTTAAAAAATCATTTCATTTCATAATCGTCCTCCCACCCAAATTTGAGTTCCAATTCCATGGTCTTGTCATTTTGACCCCTATCCAGAAGACGAGGGAACTCTTAGATCAGTACCACCAGAAGTATTGATTTGTTATGGGAACTTTGAGGACACACGCCATTAATTACAGAGGGATTCGAACTCACGAACACGAGTCCAATTAAATGAAAGACAGTTTTTCCTATAAATGAAGCAAAATTAAATTTAAATCACAGCAAACTGTTTTGATATTTAAAAAGAAAAATGCAAAATTTATATAGTGTCAAAAATTAAAAAATGTTTTTTATGAAATTTTGTTTATTAAAAATATACTTGTAGCTCATTTCTTTTATTTTTTCACCCCGTGCTGAGAAATAAGGGTTATTCAGCTCGTTTTATAATAATTAAGACTAAATTAATTTATTTTTGAATCGTTGAAACCGACATTTTTGGAAATGGCACAAATATATGTCGCTAATGGAAATTCTAATATATAGTTAAACGATCAGTAAGGAAAATCTTTTTTTCCCTTTCAATTTGTTTTTCTCCACAGAAGAGTATCCCTCTATACCAGGGGTTTCCATCATACAACAGTCAAATGGCGGGGCCGCAACTTTATCAAAATTTCATGTAAGACTTATGTTTGTAGGAAGATTAAATATTACTGTCAGATTTTTTTCAAGTTGTACGAAACAAAAGTATTGAATTACAAATTAAAATAAGAAGTAGCTTTTTAAAAATATTTAATTGCATATTAAAACATTATAGTAACTTTAATGTGCACTTTGGTATTAAACAATTAATGTGCAACAGGTATCAAATTGTTAAGATATAAAAACTTCAAAATATTTAAAACCCATATAGATTTTTTACGAAAATTGTCCTCAAAGAGAGAAATAATATATTCGCGGGCCGCCAGTTGGTGCTCTATACCTGACCCCTGGATAGCACCTGTGCCCACAGGTGCACATCATTAATTATCTATTGAGACAAAATTCGGTTGTTCGGTTAAAACTCATTCTAATTGATATTTAAAATGTTTTGATATCCCAGAAAATGAAATAAATGTTCCAGAGTACTTACCAAGTTTGTTTATTGTGTATCCTGTGGGGGGTCTAAGAGTCCTCCGGGACCAGGCCGATCTCACCACTTCCAGAGAAAAATCCGTCCCCGAAATTAAAAGGGTGCAGGGTACTAAGTACCCTTTGTACTCCAGACTGGACACAGAACGTGAAAGGCAGGAATTCCAAAAACACATAGAATTCTGCTGCAGGAAATCCAAAAAAATATCGTGTCCATTTTGTCCGGCACTTTCTGTCCGGTCTTCTAGCAGTACGAGAGCCAGACAGTTGCGATTAATTAACACGTGCCTTTGTTTATAATCTACGGGATGATACTTCTTCTGTGGAGACGTCATGAAGCCCCGAATGAGAAAACTTCTCTCAGCCCTTTTTTTGTTTGGCAGCTTATATTGGCGAGATCTTGGCGGATCTTTGAGAAATCGTTTGGGTTAGTTTCATGTCTTTGGAGTTTGCTCCTAAATGATCAGACGATACTATTCGAACACAGACAAAGAAGTTGCGGTTTTAATCTCCAGAGAAAAGTGAAGATATTCAATCTTTTTCTTTTTTGTTCGTCAATAAACGATTTTGTATGTAAGTAAATTGTTTTGAAACACACTTTTCATTTAAATACAAATTATTCCCCAACGCTACACCGCTAACTTTTTCATAAAAACAAATATTCGTATAAAATATTTGGACCTCTATTGAACGAAGTCGCTCAATCCCGATTATAAATTCCTTGTATGAAAAATTCGTTAAATAGAAAATCGTCTTTTGAAATACTTAAACGACACAAAACACGTTTTAAATTCGTTAACACTAGACATAATTTAAAAAAAGCAGCTAATACATCTTTATTTTATAAACTAGTATCTACTATTCATTTTATAAAATCTTAGTCATAAAAGAAATCTGCATGGAAAGCAAGAATACAGTAAAACTTTATCCAGTGTTACACTATCATACTACATATGCTTTCAACTAAAAAAGCTCAATTCATGTATACAATTATAGCTGCATCTATTATAAAAGTAATTTTAAACATACATTACCAGATGCGTTCTTAAGTTTAATTGTTTCTGATAAAATCAGTTTTCCGTTTGAAATGCAAACAAAAAAGGGAAAGAAATTTTACTACTTTCTCTAACAGTTAAATGGCTTCGAAAATCAATTCAAGGCCACCTCCTCCATAAAATGCGTTAACAAGTTTGAAATGTTCCGAAATATTTTGGGAAAGTGGATCTCGAAGAAAAGTTCTTTCAATAGAAAATTTACTTCGCTATTTGGAAGTTATTTTACGAAGAAATGACCAAAATGTTCTTGGTTCCTCTAAAAAAATCGCAAAATAGAAGAATTTGTAAAATGGAAGTTCGTTCCGATTGTACATTAAGAAATTGAGAGCTTGATTGATATATTTTAGGCCGAACGATCAAATCACTCAGAATGTTCGCTAAGTTTATTTAAAAGTCGTGAATTATTTGTTTTTCTAATAGAATTATTTAAAATATTGGTAAAAAAGAAATTATAATTAAATAAGAATCACATGAAAACTAGATCGTTCACAAAGTCAACCTTCAAACGATTGTTTATTTTTCAAAAATAGAATTTGGTGCAGCCTCCCTCTCAATGATTGTAAAGCATTATAGTAATAGTTACATGTTTTTAATACATTTTTAAAGGACTTTAGAATAATAAATACATTACACAGTTTGATTTTAAGTCATTCCTTACAACCTCCTCTTACCTTTTTTTCTTCTTCTCAGGATATTTAACCCTAAACATTTAATAGATACCTATTTCTACCGTAGCCGGTCAAATGATGTTGTATAAAATAAATGCATGTTATGATGATGATTTATGATGATGATGATTGATTAAATGTATAAAATATGCATGTTATGAAGAAAATAAACTAAAAAAAAAACTTTATTATAACTAAACAAAATTGTTTATTGACAATTTTTATGTATTACAAACACAAAGAATAAGAATTTTTAACTCATTGATTAACGCATCTTTTACATATACAGAGTGTTTCCATTGCATATTTTCCGCAAACATATTTCTTCTAATTATTATTATTTTGTAATTATTCTTATAATTAATATTATTTCTTCTAAGAACTTGTACTATCTTGATTGTTTCGACATTTTTCTGGGTAAAAACTATCAGTTAGAAATGAAGAAAAGCCATGAAAATAAACTATAAGCTACTTACCAAAACATTTTGTTTTTGTCACTTTTCCTGACACAAAAACGACAATCTAAAATTTCAGGTACTTTCTTGAAATTTGAATTCAGTTATTTTGATGGAACTCACTACGCAACAGTCTTTGCAAAAATGTACAACTCATCGAATGCACTACGTAAAACACGCATTATATCGTAACTTTCTGATCCGATAATCTTATAAAGGCATAAATTGTTTTCTCGGTCAAAGGAAACAAAATACAAAAAAAAACTAATAATAGAATATTTACTGTATATAATTGTTAGAAAAAGTCATAAAGTCAAATGTGCAAAAACGATAAGATTATAAGCGCATTTCCGATGCAAAAGTTCTGACCGGTTATGGTATATTCAGTGTTAAATTAATAATGAGAATTTTTAAGTAGAGAATTTGCGAAACAAAATGTTTCTGAACCATTAAAAAAAAGAATTGAGAAACTAAATGTATTTTTTTTTTTCTAATGTCAGTAAAGTGAAATATTGGTATATTTTGTCAACTCTTGAAGGTATGTTTTACTTATTCATTTTTAGTGGTGGTTAAAATCATTCAAAATTGAATTTCAAAATGAACCGGAGTTGCTATGACTTTAAATATAAAAATAAATTTTTCTGGTAAATTCGGAAGAATTGGCAAGCATGCCAAAGGCATTTTTCCTTAAATATTCTTCAATTTGTTGAAGAAGAAAAAAAGACTCGCTACTATCAATAAAAACTATAATAATTTTAAAATAAATTAAATAAAAACAAAATAAAACAGGTTCCGTAACAGACGTTATTTAAAAGAAACGAAATGTTACCCATCGGCAAAATGGATTTTGATTTGAACACTTTTCCACGCACTCTTCAACTGTGTTCAAGAATAATAGTAAACAGTGCGCATGCGTCGTCATTGCATGCGTTACTATGGCGACCGCTGCATTTCTTATATTCACTAGCAGGTATTTTTAATGTATTTACATAATAATAATAATTTAAAGTATTTTCATATTCTTTTTATTATTAATGTATAATTATTGGCCTGACGGTGATTTTAATATGAATATGAAGGCTGAAGACGGAAAAGTATTTTGTGACGTTTTGAAACGCGTACATAGGCAGGATATGAAAATCAATCCGCCGACGACTAACAGTTTTTGCAACCCATGATTTGAAATGTTGAGAAAAGCAGATCACAAGGATATTGAAGAAGCATTACTGAAGTGGTTCACCATTCGAAGAAGCTGCAATCTTCCAGTATCTGGACAAATATCGATGAATTTGCCAAGCGATTTTATGATAATACTTTTATGTGCTCGAATAGCAGGTTAGAAAGGTTTAAAAAGCGGAATAACAGAAATTCCAGAAAAATTATCTGAGAATCGGGAAGTGTTCACAAGACGAACACTTGTACACAAAACGAAGAGAAATGAAAAATAACGCATTTTTTGCTACTACATAATATTTTTCAGTCATTTATATGAATAATGTGTAATAAAAGGGAGGAGTTTGGGAACCATTAGTTAAATTGCCTGCGTAACGGATATAGTGGATACTTTAACTTTCTAAATTTTGTAGATGGGGCCCCGGTTTGTGCACTCAAAGCTTTGCAGACTCAGAATTTTAAGCACATGCATTAGGCTGAAGATTCAATAACTTACCGGAAGAGTTAGCAGATTATTTGGTCATTAGGGTTGACTGTGAATGTCGATCTTCAGAACCTGAAAAAAGACATTATAACTTACTACATATTAAAGTAATTTAACTAAGTTAAAAGTTTAAAACTAAGAAGTAATTACTTCTTGGATTCTTAAATTTTTTTTTACCCATCACGTAAGAAAAGAAATAATGCTAATTGGAATTCGGTTAGAAAATGGATACTCAAAATTAAAAGGCTGCGGAGTTGAACATTCGTTATCATACCCCCCTCCAAAAAATTAGATTAATAAATTGGGTCGGATGTTCAGCGATGATTATAAAATAAAACAGAAATGCGAAATACATTATACAAATGTTCAGCAGATGAGGATAAACTGTGGATCTCACTCATCCACTAAGGTGGATGGACTGGATCAAATTTCGATGTTTTGTGGACATCCATCCGGTATCTGAAAGTTCATCTACTTTTCAATTTGAACAAGCAGCTGTTCAATAAAAAAAAGCACTCAAATTTTTTGTTGATACTCCAATTGACAATAATGACCACCACTAAACTTTAAAACTCTGTGAATATAAAAATTTCTCAATGTTCAAATATAAGCATTAGTGGTCATAACTGTCCAATCAATAATTACACATTAAGATAGAAATTACAACAAAAACAGATTTTAGTCATATGGGTTCAAAATTAGATTAACTCTTTCAGATTTTTAGTTGGATAACTATAACCACTTTTCCTATTTTCTTAGTAAGTCAGAAAATTCCCGAAAAATTTTACTTTATTTTGTTTTAAAGAAGATATTAAAAAGCACTCAAATTTTTTGTTGATACTCCAATGGACAATAATGACCACCACTTAACTTTAAAACTCTGTGAATATAAAAATTTCTCAATGTTCAAATATAAGTATTAGTGGTCAGTGGCGTGCCAACTTTTTTTTGACTGGGGGGGCGAGCCAATGCAAAGTCATAAGCTTTGCTTGATTTAATATTTTAAAGTTAGTTGTATTATTTTAATATTGTAATTTGTCTAATTGTAATTATCTAAACTATTTCCGTTGTTTATGACGACGATGATTTAACTATTACATCCACACCAATTTAGTTAACAAAAAATGATTTATCAATCCGAAACTAATTAAAAAGAAAAAAAGTGTATTAAAATGTAAAAAATTTAATTAATGAATTTTGTAATTTTACTCCTTTAAACTTGTTAATGCTGAGCAATACATTTTGTCGATACATTTTAATCATAATGACATAGAATGGTTTTTCGCTCCTCAAAAACATATTGAATTAAAAATAACTTGTTATTTAAATTTTGATTCTAGCATAGATTTGAATTTAATCATGAATATAAATTTTCAGTTTACAAAAAAATGGAAAATTAACTTTATCATAATTTTAATGATAAGCACAAGGTATAAAAACATTAAAATAAATGAAGGAGTAAAAGAGATTGATTTCTAAAATTAAATCTTATTTTAAAATGACTTTGAATTTTAACAAGTCTT